CTCAAATAAATAAATGCTTGTTCCAAGTTTTCCTCAATTACGCCACATTCACTAGAATTCATTGTTTGTCCAGGTGTGTTACAACGAACTCAAATTTCCAATTACAACCTTTATCATGTGAGAAATATAAACATAAATTTCTGAAAAAATCCACCAAGTATTGCTGACAGCTTTAACTTGCGTATCTGCAGCCGATTCTCCATCGCTAAACTATAAACTTTGTAAGCTGTTCATCAAAACTTAAATTGTTTCGCACTTTAAAGTTTTCCTCGCGAAAGATAAAAGCTGAAATGACTTTAAGAATTGTAGGAGCTGCGAATATGTGCAACATCCTCCACGTTGAAATAAAGTAATTTTTATGAAAGTTTGAAACAACATTTTATCGGTTCCAACCCTACGTTCGCACTGTGGCTGTTATTTGCACATAATGCATGGGTGAAGATTCAATTTAAGTGAGTAAAGTTCTCACTTTGTATGCCTTTATTTTATATTTGATTCAAGGAATATTTAAGTACGTACTTCTTTAGTGCATTTAAATCTAATTAAAAATGACTAAGATCGCATTTCCTGGATCTAAGCAGCTCCACCCGTTCTGCTTGGAAATTATTCAGTCAACTAGATAAAATTGCAAAACTTTTGCCCACCCGACTACGGCTTATTAATATTTAAGAAGCAATTAACGATTTAAATGAATCGTGAAACTATATTTGGCTTTTGCAGATAAAGTTTCTCGATTTCAATATATTGGACTGGAAGTTTGCAGCTGAATTAGCAGGGATTTATTGAAAAATATATAAATGTTTTTTCACCGGGTTTCCCCGATGAAAGTCTGCGGAAATTTCAATTAAAATGGCTCTTTGTGAAGTGTGTTGATCGTCATTAGAATCTGAGTTTATTGTGACTTGGAGAACTGCAAACAATCGGGGTTCTTACGGAAAACATTTGGGCTTTTTCCAGTCCCGTTTTATAATTTTTTGGTCTTATGTTATTAATCGCTATAAGGCAAATGTGCTTGCATTAATTTTAATTTATTCCTGAGGTCAGTATTAAGATGCATTCGTTGCCCCACTTCGATTCATTGATACCAGCAATGGTTTATTGCAAAACGCACTGAATAATGATTGGTTGCAGTTTCCGCTCACACCTATCTATTAATATCAATAAAAATGATCGTTTGGCGTGCGTGTGGCGATATAAATTATGCATGTTGGGCGGCTACATAAACACTAATGTAACACCTCATAGCCGATAGAAATATCTCGAATGTATCATATTAGTGTAATTTTGCGACTTAAGTTTGAGCGAAATCCGTCTCCCATGGAATTCAATAGATTTATCGACCAATTTAAATTTCAATTTTAATGAAATTTTAGCCATAAATATAGATAGAGTGGAATTCATGTTATTTATAATGCTTTCCAGGTGGACTGTTAATAATGTGAATAAATGCATTCGACAAAAATGCATTTAGAGCGTTCATTATTCTCGTACGGATTTTTTAAAATAAATTATTTGAAATGTCATTATAAACAAATGCAAAACTTATCGATGCATATAAAAGTTTTGTTTTATGGTTGATAGAGTAAGCTGAAAATATGTAGTTTAAAAATATTTTGCTTAATTCTGGTTAGTTATAAGCCGAGTACTTTCGTGATTATTTGCAAATCAGATCAGAAAAGGTTGCTATAAATAGATTAAATTTTAAAGTAGGAACTTTGATTTTTGAATCTTCAATTTTAATAATGCACAACTCAAGGCTACTACTAGATAGTTTGTCAAGAGTTTTGCCTGTGACGGAAAACTTGAGAGCTTCGGCTGCTGCAACATTCAATGAATGTTTCATTTGAATATATTTAAAAGCACTATCCTAATTAACTTTTATTTGAATTTAACATTCAGGAAAGTTCAAAGAAACTTTTTTTAATTGAAACTGAATACTAGCATCATAACTGCAGTAAAGCTCGCTTTTTGATTGGTGAATTAAAAATCGCAGTAGAAATTTTTGAAATTCACAATGGCCAATTGTTCAATTTCTGGGGCTCATTCCGATTGCAGCCTTTTAATTACTTGTTTCGTAACTTCATAAAAAGTTGTCCGCCTCTGGAAGTTGCCGTTTATTAAGCCCAGTGTGTCGTCCAGCGGACCGTGCATATCTAAATAATCTGGGGGATGTAAATTCAGTGCACGACGGCCCGTGAGGTTGCCGGGAAAGTTATAGCCAAAAATTTACTATTCTTTTATTTTCTGGCTTCTGACGCTGAAGACCCACTTTTCTTTTGCGCCCGTTAAATGACCCTAAAACTGCTTTTTAATCTGATGCAAACGATCTGCGGTTAGCTAAACGATTCCCATCATATGCCGCAGCCTTAATTAGCATCACATTTTAAGCGTTTCATAACGCATTCGTGTATGATACACGCCACATTCTGTACGGTTTGCAGTGAATCGCCAACAGAAGCTGAAATAATTGAGTTGGAATCAAACACTGCAAATCTGTAAATAACATTTTTTTATGCAACCTTCACTTTGCTGCATAATAGATGGCAAAACCTTTTTAATTACTTCCATTCTCAATTTGATTGGAGTTGACTAGGGATCAGCAAAATGACTCGCGCTGCCAAAAAGGGTTTGACCTAAAAACAACTGCAAATTTTATGTAATTAAGTTACTGACATTTAGCATGGATTCGTTTGTAAATATGTGAACGAATTCAATAAAAAAAGGCAGCGCCAAACAAACCAGTACAAGCAAACATTGTGAAACCGGATTAAAACGAGCGGTAATTATGTTTTATGGGTATGCTTGTTAATGCCCGAATTTCTATTATTGATTCATGTTTTACTTGAAAATTAGTTTGTTTATTGCGAGCGAATAAGTCCTGATTAGGGGTACCTTGCATTGAAAATTAAACTAGAACTGTATTTTATTTTTGAAAATTGTTACTTGATCCTCATATCGAAGTCAATGAATATAATTTTTGGCTGAGCCTACGGATGCCGATTTTACAGATTGGTTAAGCAAATGGTGGCCACATTTCGAAGAGAGTTCGGATTTGCTTGTTTCTCCGGTTTAAAGTAGGTACTTTAGGTGATTTTTCTTACTGTGTCTTAAATTATACCGTATTTTGGCCAGTTTTCAGCTGTTTAAATAAGTTCCGATTTTCAATTGGCTTCTCTGCGCTAATATAGTCTCAAACAGGGTGTATATGACCATCAAAACGCTTCTAGGTTCGAGAAATATTCGTTGAACTCCAAAAACCCAAATGTAAAAATAACAAATTCCACTTTTGCACGAAAAAACCAGAATATCTTCGAATCTCTGAATTTATCGAAAAAATTTAAGTCGTCCTAAATGTGTGAAACTGTGCACTATTTTATCGGAAGGAAGTGAGAAGCGCAATCAACGCAACGATAAAACTGCAAAAAATCGGCCAGTTTTGAGCGAGTTATTAATACTTTGCCTCTATATGTTCTAATATGGTCTCAAACGCCCTGTATATGTGCACTGAGAATCTGCTGATCGAAAACTATCCATTGCAGTCAACAAAGAAGCAAAAGTTGGCGATATTTGAGCCGTTTTGAGGCAGCTTCGATATATCAGGTAGTTTTGTACTTTACGAATTTTTATCAATTCAATAACGACATCAAATGTTCGATTTTTATTAAGAGAAATATTGCAGGGCTTATTTATTTAATGCTTTCAAACAGAAGCCATTAGACCATTTTCGAGCTGAGTTCTGATTAAAGCGTCACAGTCCAAAGCGCTGGAAACATTTATAAATCATTTATGAATTCATATGTATTTAGCCTGCATGTATATCCGCAAGCACAAAATACACTGTTTCACAGATAACTACCGCTGAAATTGATTTATCAGATTTTCGCCATATGCCTGATGAATTATAGCTAAATTTGTGCAGATGTGAAAGGGAGATTTTAGGAAACCTAAGAATCCTAGCTGCTGAGATAAGCTCATGCATTTTGCTCTCAAATTCCCGATATTTGCACTAAGGCCATTACTAACTAATTCTGATAAAATCTGGGACGGCATGGTCATTTCCAGAGAGCAAATTTCTAATTCCCATTTTATCTAAGGTCGTTTACCCGTTGTGCTAGCTGATAGCACGTATTTCATTAGGCATTTGCCATGTCCCTTTTCCTCATGTTCTTTTGTCAACAGAATGTTATTTCTCTACTGGATAGTTCAGCTGATAATATACATAATCAATCAATTTAAGTATACTGAATATTGCATAATTTTCAGTAAAATTGTCAAGTTTTATGAAAAGGTTTTTCCAAACTAAATTTGTCAAAACTTATATGAGGCTTGAAATTTATAAAACGATAAAACGAAAATTGAATTTTAAGCCATTCATAACGGAGCGGCCGCTTTAAGTACCAAATAAATACTCTGGGCCTTATTTAGAAATTCTTTTCCTCTGCCGCTTGACCTTTTTCTCTGTAAATAAGTTTATTGCAGCGGCCAACTTACACGCCTCGTAACGTCCACTGGACTTGCTGTTTTATGATCCAATATACTTTCGGGTTTTGTAGAGTCGGTCGCTTTAAGACAAGCAAATCATTTCGAAACGCTATTTACGAATTGGGATCGGCCGAGGCCATTTGTTCGGATTTATTCCGACCTTGTGTTCCAAAGGGCCGGCAAATTTTTTTATCGCGCCCTTCCAGAACTTGCCAAACAGGAAACGAGGACTTTTATCCGGTTTCTCACTTAATAAATGTGCTGCAGATATATCAATAAACCTTGTGAACTGAAGTAAATTCTAAACGTTTTGCAGTCAGTGGAAAGCCAGACAAATTTCGCGTTAATGTGAGTTTTCAGATGTTGATTCCATCAAAACGTTTTAAATAGAAGCTAGACTTGGATTGTATTTTCTTAGCCCTTTTTCGGGGGCAGTAAATTTGAATTTTCGGAACATAAACGTAATAAATTTATACAGTCCATTATAGGAACGCCACTAACACCTACGTTGCTCTTAGTTTCAGAGAAATTCTTCGAGCTGAAACGTCTAAAAGCCGACGAGGGATTCATAAGGGTACAATGCCGTGCAGACGGAATATTCCCCAAGCCGGTGATGACTCTCCATTCACAACAAAGGTAATTTTAACTGTGTTTGCTAATAAACACCTTACATGGAACGCTATTGGCTTTATTGACCGCCAAGGGATAATTGGTTAGTGCAGTTAAAGGAGCTCTAAGGGCGTTAAGCGTAAATGAGCTGTTTACGACTGTAAAATTCACTTTGGAGCATGGACTCGATGGGCTGCCAATTGATTCCGCTTTAAAGAGATTTTAGCTGCACGTTTTATTGAATGTAAAGCACTTCCCTTGTTTAGCTCCACGTGATCAATTGTACCAATTAAAACCGTGCAAGAAACAAAGCTGGAGAAACTCGGGGGCAGTTTTACCGCCACTAAACCGTCTAACAACTTCCCATGTTCCCCACATATATCGGCCGTTAATTACTTAATTGGTTTCCTCCTTTCGCAACATACGCGCACCGGCGGTACCGTTTCGGAAGAAATTAAGAACTTCCTGCGAAGGAAGTGGGCGGCATCGTAAATTAACCATCATAGCCTTGGTAAGGTCACGTGGCCAGCCATGAAGAAGCAAGAGAACCGAATGTGATCGTAAAACTTAACTTGACAGACCGACCGGTCGGGATTACAAGAAAGGAATTGGGCCACGCGTTTAATTGAGAAATAAATCTGCGAATGCGTTTCCTGTCGGAAAAGAAACTTGACAGCCATATGAGATTAGGCCGTTGGGGAATTGAGACTGAAGGCCGAGTTTCCAGGAAGTTAAAGCGAGTGTCATAGATGAAATCTATATTCGGTTGTTTATTATTATTCTTTATTTAAATTTCTTTCCTAGTTAGTGTCACACCATTTCTGTCTGGGCGGCAACAAATGTTTGAATAGGTCGATAAGGCGGGCGATCATCAACATACACATAAATAGTGTATTAGAAGGGAATCAGTAGTTTACGCCCAAATGGACCAAACTGAGTTTGGCATAAGAAAGCATATTTTAAACAGTTTTATTTACGATAAGGCATGTGTTTTTCAAAGCAAAAAGCGCAACTGATTTTTCATGCCAACTCCGTTTCATCCATTTGATTGATTTTTCGTATATTTTGGATAAAAATACATACAGACGGTGATTGACATGTTGCTGGTACAACGCTTGGCCGTATAAACGCAAAACGGCATTCGGTTGTTTATTATTATGCCTTATTTAAATTTCTTTTCTAGTTAGTGTCACACCATTTCTGGCTGGGCGGCAACAAATGTTTGAGTAGGTCAATAAGGCGGGCGATCATCAACATACACATAAATAGTGTATTAGAAGGGAATAAGTAGTTTACGCCCAAATGGACCAAACTGAGTTTGGCATGAGAAAGCATATTTTAAACAGTTTTATTTGCGATAAGGCATGTGTTTTTCAAAGCAAAAAGCGCAACTGATTTTTCATACCAAATCGGTTTCATCCATTTGATTGATTGTTCGTATATTTTGGATAAAAATACATACAGACGGTGATTGACATGTTGCTGGTACAGCGCTTGGCAGTGTAAACGCAAAACGGCATTCGGTTGTTTATTATTATGCTTTATTTAAATTTCTTTCCTAGTTAGTGTCACACCATTTCTGTCTGGGCGGCAACAAATGTTTGAATAGGTCGATAAGGCGGGCGATCATCAACATACACATAAATAGTGTATTAGAAGGGAATCAGTAGTTTACGCCGAAATGGACCAAACTGAGTTTGGCATGAGAAAGCATATTTTAAACAGTTTTATTTACGATAAGGCATGTGTTTTTCAAAGCAAAAAGCGCAACTGATTTTTCATACCAACTCCGTTTCATCCATTTGATTGATTTTTCGTATATTTTGGATAAACAATTCATACAGACGGTGATTGACATGTTGCTGGTATAGCGCTTGGCACTATAAACGGAAAACGGCACTTAAAACCTGAATTTTTAAAGCAATCATGTACACCTCTTCTAAGTGAATGTTGCCCCAGTTGAATCGCCCTACAAATGCATTTGAAAAACTGAAACCATCTATATTAATTTTTCCCAAACGTTTGTAACCTACATCAATTTGCGAGCGGATTTCTGAAAAATTGAAGCAGGCGTTTAGGGTTTCCAGCTAGGTCTCATAAACTGGAACGAAGCAGCTGAACTTTAATCATCATCAGCCTGAAAGAGACATTTCACTAACGTAAACGTAGTTTACGTTAGTGAAAATGTCAAAAGGCCATTGCGTTTATCTTTCTTGTTAGGAGACAATACACTGTAAAGGTTTCTGGGCCTTGAGGTCTGATGAAAGTTATATTGGGTTTCCCGTTTCTCAGCGCGCGGAAACTTATTTCGTTACGAGCCAAGGGTTAAAAGTCGGTTTCTTTGTGCAAGTTACGAGATGATCTTTTCGCGTAGTGTAACGACAACTTCGCGGGTTCAGATTCTTAAGCTTATTGTATTATTGAGCCAGTTTACGGGCGTGTGAGCATGGATGTCTGGCTTTGAATATTCGCAACTCCTGTCGCATTTCCAGTTCATTTAAGTTGTGGAACTTTCCTAGTTCCCACATGTCTGAGTAGTTAAATTCAGCTCAGATTTGTGGGACATCAAAGCAACAATCGAAACAATATGGTGATTTGGTTGGAATGGAAAAAGCACTTTGCCGGAAAAAATTGCGGAGAAATTGAATACTCTTGGAGAAGCGAAAAGAAATAGCTCATTCCAAGGAAAACATTTAAGGAGCGATTCCATATATCACCCTTTTATTCCATTTGGACCCTCCGCACCCTCCAAATTATGGCTAGGCGGCAGAGAACGCTTTTAGTGACCGCAGGGCGGACTCTTATCTTTTCACACACCACTGAATCAAACTATTATGAAACGGACGAGTTGGGGACGGGAAACCTCCATTTTTGCGACAGCATTGACGCGATGGCCAAGAAAAATGCTTCGGGGGCAATTTATAGCTGCGCGATGGCATTTTTCATTGCCGAGTGCAGTTTTCAAGAGATGCTCTAATAAATGGAATACTTTTAGTGTAGTAGTTCAATTCACAAAAGACATCATGTCCAAGGAAATGGTAAGTTTCGGAATTTTGACCGAGTCGTGCGAGAATTCAGAGGGAAATTAGGTTTTGGAAATTTTACCGAACGTTTCAAAAGGCGACGAATTTAAAGTTTTCTAAGTTTCATTTCGTGATTAGCAGGCAGATTTGATTAAATTCGGAAAGGCAAACTCGAAATCTGTTTGGCGGAGGATTAATAAGCATGTTTTCGCTAAATTATTTAGGGTTTTTTTTAGTGCTTTTTTGTTTAAATTCCACAAAAATCGTATCTTGAGAAGCTGCTACTGATCTGAAGAAAGGCAATCTCGAAGGCCACTTTTGAAAATAACTCAAAATATATTTTATACACATTTTCCAAAATTTTCGCTTCAGAGAGAGCAGATCTGAAAATTAAACTTGCAAGATCGTAAATTGTATCAATTTGAACATAAATCGGCAATCAAAAATTGGTTGAATTGGAAATTGTGCGGTTGAAATCAATTAAATTGACCTATCAATTTGAAGAAATCTATTTGAACTATTTGTGATGCCCAGGTTGAAGAAATTCTTCAGGGTATGTTCATATTTAATGAAAAAATTAGGTCCATTACTCTCTTAATAGTCAAAACTGTGAAATGTAAAAAAACTTTCTGTTTAGTGCGGTTTAGAAATAATTTTATTATTAGACCACATGCGTTCGAGACTGAGAATAAGACTTTGCAACTATTGCTGATGAACTACAGTCGCAAAAGCGATTGGGAATGGAAAACATAATTTTTATACAGGAGCCAGTCGCACATTTTTGCCGAGAAATCAAGGAATTGATACTCAGGTTATTCAAAATCATCAGATTTTGCAAACTTCTTGTTCACCAGGATCACCTGAACGAAATAACTAACACAAACTAATCGAAATGAGCCCAAAACAACCCATATTAGCACAAGCTAACACAAACTCTCACTGAGATAGAGGAAATTTTTTAATTTTTGATATAGTCACTTATTTTTCTTTTAATTGCGAATGCTAATTGAAATAACATGGAAAATCAAGAATTGAGGAGCTTAGAATCCATGTAACCATTAGTTTCGCGTTGCGTGATGCCATTCGAAACGACACTCGCCATAGAACCAGGAAGTATAAAACGTTCAGAATTGCCTTTTCACGGACAATAAAAGCGGAACAAACCACACTAAAAGCGAATAGATCATAAAATTCCACTTTTCCTAAATCACATTTATGCGCCACGTCCGAAAACGGAGGGCATAAATAAATCGACGAGTTATTCTCGCAATCAGCAATCATTTAGACTGATAATGTAGACCACGTTTCCAACAGTTTTATAACTCTGCTCAAACCCCCCGAAGATAATATCTGGGCTCTAAATCGGCCACCATAGGCGCAGCGGATTTTGCCAGTTTATTATTCTGTTCCGAGTTATTATTCCGGTACCACACGGACTATTTCAGACCAGATAATTAAGCCGAATGTTAGCGTCAAGATTTGGATGTGTAATTTCCGGATTTTCGATGTAGCTTCATATTAGTGGTGGTCATTAAATGTTTTGCCCCCCATTTCGTGCACTATACAACAAGCTACATAGTTGAGTTCCAATCATATCAGCATAACTTTTTAATGCCCTAGTTTAATTGATAAAACTTATTGGTTTTTTTATTGTGTTGGATTTTATTTCCGTATCTGCGGGAACGAAAAAATCGGTCGTTTGCAACGTAAGATTAGTAGCAAACAATATGCATAATTTAAAATGCACATACTCGGCCAACAAGCACTGAAAATGCCGTTTTAATGGTATCGAATTTGATAGCTAACGAACGTATGTTCTGAATAACTGGTTTTAACTAGCGATTTTAAAAGAACTGATTTTTCCTATTTTGTTTATTGTTCAGTGAGTGCACTGTGAGAAGCAAAATATATAATCGTTGCTGGCACTGAATAGCCAGAATTTAAAAGGTTTGTTTGATTTCCATTGCATTTCTTTTTGTTATACGTACGTTGCATGTTCCTTTTCACTAAACATATCGGGCAGATGAAAAACTTGTGAAAAAAACCTTCTGGGGCAGAAAATTTGTTTGAGTGTTTTTAGACTTGGTTTTGCCTATTTGCCATTATCACTTCACACGTAATACTGGGTGGCAATAAATAACCAAAAATAGCACAAATTCATAACATAAATCTAGCTCGCGAGTCGGAAAACATCAAATTGAATGCACATGTTCTTTCAGGCGTATACCAGAAGCAATTGTGCAAAGTAAACAGGAGGGCCACCTTTACGAAATCTCGGCCCAGGTGACGTTGCCCGAGCTGGAGAAACCTGAGGAATTCTCCTGCAAGCTGCACATTCCCTTGGCGAATTACACGACACGTCGAGAGACCGTCTTTTATCCAGGTAAGACGTTCTTTGGGTCGGGCGGTTTTCGGGAACGGTCGGTTTGATTTAACTTGCCTTGTTTAGATTTATATCCCTTTTGCCCAAAACTGTAGACAATCATTTACATTTGGTCCACAAGGGATATTTAGTTAAGAAATGAAATGCAAAATTCGCCAGCTTCTGCCCGGCAAATTCAGCCTAATGAAGGGCTTGTTTGGATATGAAAAACTGATGAGCTCTTCATAGAACATTCAGTACAAAAACAATTACTCAGTAAAGTGAATTTCCAATAGGATTTAGATCAATAAATTTGCCTCGATTTCTAATGCAACGAAGAAACTTCCTGAAAAAGTCCACCGATATCATTTCGAAACACCCGACAATTCTCCCCTTATACGAAACTCTCCAGTGCAACTATCAAGATCTGTTATTTTTCCCATTTCCCAGACCTTCGGCTAATCTCAAAGAACACGGGACTTTAATCACAATAAAGTTCCCAGTTGGGAATCAGAAGAGACGTCTTGCTGGACCATGTATCAAATCTTAGCTTGATGAAACTTTAAACTGGTGTAATTCGCTCGGAGCAACGGCTAAAGAATAAATATAAAACGACGCGGCGCATTTATAAATCTTGATGTTTCTGTTAAAATGCAACTTAGCACATAGATTGGACTTTTATGACCACTATGAATGGAACGTGCAATTATTTCTTCTTGAAGTTGAATGCGGATTTTTCATTAGTTTTTCGCTGGAGGATTATTGATTTTATACTTGAGGGAGGAGGATGTATTAAGTGAAATTTAAACACTCGTCACTAGACTCCATGGACCACAACGCTCTTTTTTACATTGATATTTACAGAATGGTTTTTTTTGTAAACGACAATGGAACTTTTTTTAAAACATATATTTCGTTCTCTACAACATTTTAAAATAAAAATCACCCATCAGCGTACTCTTGCACAAATGTATTTCTTGGACAGCAATTAACTGAGTCCGATGCGAAATATTCATGCGATAAAAAACGAAGCTATTTACTTTGACAACACGAAGCAAAACAGTAGAAAATTGCAAAATCCTTAGAGTTCCTCTATTGAGAACTGGCTGCTCTTCCTAATACTCCGAACCGGTAAAACGCTGACAATCCCAGAAATTTGGATACCAAATTGAGTTTCCTAACAGAAACAATTTAACGACATTTCAATTATTGGACTCCTTTGAAAAAGCGCAGAAAATTTTGCAAGTAAAACTTTACTTTTAAAATCATCGTTTTACATTGTTTTGCGCTCGGGAATAGCATCTGCCTTTGGGCGAAACACATTTCATCTTATTAAATTTCCACCTAAATACAGAATAGAAACTTCTTTATCTTAATAAGTTTTCTTGCTGGTGGGTACAATTTACCTCGTTTAGTCTAGATTGGAATAAACTGGGCTGCAGTCACGACCGAAATAGGATTTAAAATGTAAATGATATTATGCCAACGATTCTTTCGTTTATATTTTTACGTTTAAAGTATTTTTATCTAAACGTCCGAACTTCAAAGGGCCCGTAAACCAACAGGAAAAATGCCACTGCAGGCAATGTTCCATTGACCTCTGCTGTCATAAATTTCCATCAACCAGATTGTATCAAAGTTTTATAAGCTCTTCCGACTGTTACGCTTCCAATGGCTTAAATATTAGAGCAGCACTGTCTCAAAACAAACCGCACCGTGCTCATAGCACTGTATGATCAGATATTCCCACTCCAAGGTAAGAGAATATCTGATATTGTTGTTCATAAATAATGGAAAACCACGAATCCAGTGTCGGTGGCGTGTGGAAGTGAGAATAATGCCAGGAAGCCTGAAACGGTTATTTATAACAAGCGGAATTATAACTGGAAAGCAAGTTACTCACTCAACATTCATATATGTTGCAGTTGGAGCATTAAATGTCCCCAAATTTCCTGTTCCAAATTCAAAACTACACACTATTTAAGGAGGAACCTATTGCAGACTATTTGCAAGTAATAAATACACCGCTCAAGATAATCCGGTCCAGTTCGACCGCCCTTTGGGGCCAGGACGTGCCCCCTTAATAGGCTAGATTCGATGATACACTGCAGAAGCGGTTTAAAGATAATGAAAATAAAACATCAGGCTCCACCCTTACTTATAGAGAATGTCCTTACACTATATTACTGCGCTTATCTTTATTATCCCGGTATTACGGTCACCCGCGGTTTAATATGGATAGAACCCTGCTATTATATGTTTTTTACTCACCAATGATTGCGGGGATCTCTTATCTTAATTAAGAATTAATCCTGCCTTGTAGTATGACAGTGCAAGGATGGATTTGCAAATTATTAGCAAATAAACGGCGATGGAATAGATAGATAGAGACAAACTCGCTGGCAAAATCGCATCTGGATACTCCCGAAATGAAAAGGCAGTTTTTGAAAAGCGATTCTGTTTTATTATATCTTTCTTTAGATTTTTCTTATTAAATAGGAATGTTATTATATTTTTATTAGAAATACATCTAGACAGATGTCCTTTATTCTCGTGACAGCTTCGAAAATGAAAGTTTTTGTGCCGAGATAAAAGCGTGGCACTCAAGACCGGCTTTTTTGTTACGTATATAAATAGTTCAACGTTTATTTTCGCTCTGATATTCAGCCTTTTCTATTTGGAAACTAATTAAGTTGTTACTCATTTACTGTAAGTGCAAAAAAATTAATTGTTATTTAAGGTGCTGAAAATTCAGTTTAGCAAGTGCATTAAATTTCCAGTACGACGGAAAACTTACCTTTTTGCAGCGACAATCTGCAAAAAAGGTGAACTTAATTCGGCTTATTTAAATTTAACCCAAAAATCCCTCGTTGCCGCAAACCACATCGTTTAGCCGTGTCGCCAAAATGGTCGCGCAAAGAACAAATAATTATTTTGGGATTTATGCCCAAGATTTTTGCCCCATTTGAGGGTTTTCCCTGCCGCTGCCCGCAATTCTCCCTAGAGAAATCTTTGCAATATCGCGATGATTAATATTTGGGTCAAATTACTCGCTCTGACCTATTACGATCATTATTCCGTCTAGTTAAGGTAGAGAGAAGGTCATTAATTGTGGGCCAAATAAGTGATTTTATGGAAAATTGGAACTCACTAATTTGAAAATTCCTGTTCCTCCATTTGGAATTGATATTCGGAAAGTCAAGCAAAGTGGCATGGGCAGATTTTTGCTTGTTGTTTGAGGGAATTTTAATTTCCGTTAAAATGGGAAGTTCAAATGTTATACAGATCTAAGTATTTCATTGACATAAAACCCTACAAATTCAGATAACAAAACGTTAGGTTGTCGTCCTCAATCAAGCTTATTTCCTTCAAGTTCTACATAGTAGGAATTGTATAGTACGGTTACATTTCCCCTATTTTGTCTGAAATTCAGCCGAACAAACAACGCATATTTGCGTCTATCCTAGCGAGAAATTGTTTTGGGATTTAACAGTGGACAGACTCTGCAATCTTTGTATTTTGTTTCTGTCGGAATGGTTAGCTCGAAACGGATTCAGCACAGGGACGTGTGACTAGTTTTGAAATGAAATAAATTACGACTTCCGCAATTTCGGATAGTTCCTATTGGACGCGTTCGATTTCCATCACTTAAGGCTTTTATTCGAAAAATAAAGCAGACTGAAGCATTAGCTAAGTCAATAGCTTTTTCTGAAAACAAGAGCCTTAAATTTTAATGTTTATAGAAAATCGTTGCATGGAAATGTTGTGAATATTTCAAGTCGTAAGAGCTCTGGCTGGCATTTATTCCGGTAAAATGTAATTTTCGTTTCACGGTGTCACACAGTTTTCATTAAATAATGGAGATTTGGAATGGAGGTCAAATTTCGAGCCGATTCGACCAGCGATTGGATTATAAATAATGAATTCGAAAAAATTTATTATGGTTTATTAAAGGCTATAAACTCAATAAAATGCCAGCACTATTTGCGCTTTGAGTCGCTGAAATTACCATCAACATATATTTTGAGCATAATTCGCGGTTGTATGATACACATTTATATTTTAAGTCAAGCTACAGAAGAAAAGCGGCGGTAAAGAACAATTTTCCTCCAATTTAGGATTTGTTTTAAATAAATCAATCAAATGCGGATTTTGAGTTCAGATTCTGTAGATTATGCGTTGTTCTAATTTAAATTTATAAAGGATAAATCAGTTTTATAATAATTGAACCAATTTTTGTGGAGAGAATATTCAAGAGTACTGCAGCAGCGTACACTCATGAAGTTAAGTGGAATTGCAAAAAGGTCAACTTTGATCGCAATCAATGCAAACAGACCGAATCTGGGCTTTTCGACATCAAAGCGTTACAGTTCGGATTTGCAATGTAAAAATCACGCTATAAAAAGCGCCGATGCGGCATATAATTTGTGCCTTTACGAAGGAAAGCCGACTGGTTTAAAATTCGTTCATCGGGCGCATTTTGCAAATACTGCTGAATCAAAATGCTGCTATACAAAACGGAATTAGTCCACGCACTTTTAAAATCCGGCGTATTAAATGGAAACAATGACTATTCATGAAGTCTCTGACCAACTAGTCATTAGTTCTGATTGTTAATGCTCTCTTAGAGATGAAGCGCTCTATTTCTGTTCAACGCACAAAACGAATAAAAATCATGCATTTTTCATAAAATATCAACCAGCTACGCCCTTGGAGAAGCGATATCTTTTCCACCCAGACAACTGTTCAAAGTTACAACTAAATGAAAACGACTCTTCCAGATAAATTCCCAATCTTTCCTCAGCATTAACTTAAAGTAGTTCAAGTCTGTCTATTTTCCGAAGTAAATTAGGCATTCGCGTTAGGAGCAATTTAATTAAAATCCAAATTAAACAAATAGGGAAGCTGCAATTACACAGATTCCCAGATAGGAGTAGGCCTGGCTTCGTAAACGCCTAATAGTTGGGAAGTTCCAAATTGGAGTTTTGGATACTTTGCTAAATTGCATTAATTATTGACAT